GCCCTCGTGCCCCGCCTCTCGCGCCCCACCCAGAGGCCTCGGAGCACGCTCCCCGGGCTCTCCGGATCGCGGCCCCCTCCTTCCCACCCGGTACTCCCCGCCAAGAACGTCTGCCCTGGTTTGGCTCTGAGCCATACAGCTCGACAGCGGACTGATTCTGGCTCCGCCACCTGCTACCCTTGTGAATCTGGACCGGTGTTTCCACCTGGATAAGCCTCGGAATCCTCATTTGTAAAATGAGATCACTGCACCTACCTTGTGAGGTGGTTAGAAGGACTAAATGAGATAGTGGGAAAGCTTAGAACCGTGCCTGGGGCGCTGAGAACCAGTGTTAACTGATAGGACAGGTCGTGGTAGTGTTTCCGAGTTCTAGAAACGCCACTGGGGTCGAGAGGGCTGGAAATGCTCAGGCACTGACCAGGCAGTACCTGGCACCAGACTAGGTCCTAAGGTTTGTAGTCTTCCAAAGAAACCTAAAAGGGCCCTCCAAGGCTGTCAAAACCCCCCGGAACTCTGATGAAAACTTCAGTATCCAGACAGGCTCTTGTTAAAAAAGAGTGTTTTCTCAGCCAAAATTTGCCTTTTGAATCAATAAAACAGGAAACAGCATCTGCCTTTGTGGAAGTTATGGCAAATCAAGGATCTCCAAGGGGCCGTGGCGGAGGAGGGAGGAGGAGGCCCTGAGAGTGTGGGTTTTGTGCTGGGAATTGGGGTGGACTGGGATGGAGGGGACAGTTCGTATTTGGAAGAAACCCTTAACAGTCGCCCCACACTGTCTCTGGGTGGGAACAGGATGGGCCTGTCCTCAGCTCCCTCTGTCTCCAGAGCTTCCTGGGGCCCAGCCTGAGGTCACTCCTAGGGGCAAGTTGGCACTGAACACCCCTTCTTCACCCTCACCCCAAAACCTGGCACCTCAACCCCTGCCCGGCCTAGGCCGCCCGGCTCTCATGTTGCTGTTTGATGCTGCGCAGAGCGGACCCACCCCATCCTGGGTTCTCTTTAGGCTCATCTTGGCAGCTCGGAGCTGAGAACTCCCCACTCCTGGGTAGGGGTGTTGGGGGTGGTGGGCAGGAGAGTCGGGGTGGGGGATACTGGCTTTGGAGTCAGTCGGTCACTTAGCTGAGGTCCTTGGGGATACCACCCAGCCTTCCTGACCCTGCCAAGTGCTGATAGCGGCACCAACTCGCAGGGCTGCTGGGGGGATTCCCCGGGATGACAGCAAGGCACCAGTCATGCTTGTGACTTGTGTCGAAATGGAGGGGAGGCTCCTGGGCCAGGGGCTTATCCTGGCCGTCTGCGCCTGGGCCAGGGGCTCATCCTGGCCATCTGCCCCTGGGCCAGGGGCTCATCCTGGCCATCTGCCCCTGGGCCAGGGGCTCATCCTGCTCATCTGCCCCTGGGCCAGCATAGGTACCTGGTCGGCCTGGTGGGCTGCAGCGTGGACAGTGAGGGCTGGCTCTTGGCTCTGCCTGGGTAGGGCTGAAGGGGCAGCTGCTCTTCACAAACTCAGGAAGAGGGGCAGTGCCAACTCTGGGTGAATGATGTTCCCAAAAGCTCCATGTAGGGTGATTTGAAATAATACTGATGCCTGGCTTCCATCCCTGTTAAACCCTGCTGTAGAGTCAATTCCAACTCATAGTGGCCCTACAGGACAGAGTAGAACAGCCCCATAAGGTTTCCAAGGCTTTACGTCTTTATGGAAGCAGACTGCCATATCTTTCTTCCGTGGGTATTTAGAGAGATCTCTCAGCTGATAGTATTGTGGGGCCAGGGTTGAGAACCATTGCCCGGACTCGGAATTATGTCACTTTTCATGTTGTCTCTTCTGTCCTGCAGGCCGCCGAGCATGTCAGAAACCTGATTAAGGCACTAGAGATGAGAGAGCCCCAAAATCCAAGCCTCCATCTTAAAAAAATTCTTGTGATTAGCAGACTGGTAAGGTTCTTTTTTCTGGTTTCTGAAATGGTGCTTCTCTGTGTGTTCCTTAGGGGAGACTTCTGTCCTCACAAAGCTTCCTGGTTCCCTGCCCCTTCTCTCCTCCACCCCCCCGCCCCCCGTCAGCCTCCACAGCCCAAGTTGAGCCTGTCAGGCTGGTAGCCCTGCCATGGCCCTTCCCCATTTCTGGCGACTAACTGTGATATGTGGACTCTGAACCCTTGACCGGCACTCCTCAGAGATGTTGTGATTATCAGGGCAGTGAGGGCTGAGAGCCCTTTTAGGGTGGGAGATGCTTTACTTAGGGAAGGAGGGCCATGCCCAGCTACGGCCTCAGGGTTGCTGGGGTTCCCGGCTCCCGTACTCTTTTGGTGGAAGTCATGGGGAAGGCCGGCCTGCCTAGGCCTCTCTGACATTAGGCAAGTTCCGAATAAACCAGCTTGCTGTAGAGTCTGTCTTTGTCTGACACTTCAGCCCCAACCAGAACTTACAAGAAGGGATTGCGTAAGGATCCGGGCAGCCCCGGGGCCTCAGACACCACAACTGTGGCATTGAGTGCCACTGGGACGTCATCTCTCTGTCCCTGTCAGCGTCTGATTCTCTGCTGCTGGCAGCTGCCAGGGCAGAAAGCTTCTCTCACCCAGCTTCAGTTTGTGAAAAACCTCTTGGCAACTTCTTGGACCCATTACTGTGGACAGACAGTGGAAGCCTCAGAGGGCCCAGCGGGGCTGGCCCTGTGGCTGGAGGCAGGTTCCACACACGTGGCCAGTGTGAGACCTTTGGGAGCTGGCCAGCTGCACGGCCCCATTGCCTAGATGTCCACAAGTACCCCTTGGGCTCTCCTGAGCCTGCCAGAGTTCCCCCATCTGACGTGGCCTTGCTCAGGCTGCACTGACCGGCTTCTCTCTTCCCATGTCTGTTCTTTGCAGTGTGGAAGACAGCAGGCAATCCTACGGCTAGTGTGCAGCTTCATGGAGCGCATCTTCTTGGCCAACCCCTCCCACACCCACGTGGCCATGGAGCTGGGCTATCTCTTCATCCTGCAGGACCAAGTGAAGGAGGCATCGCTGTGGTACTCTGAGGCCATGAAGCTGGACGAGAGCAGCATAGCCTCCTTGACAGGTCTCTGCAAGCAGGGTGTATGGCTGGTGGGAGGTGGGTGTCGGGAGCCAAAGAGAGTGCTGGGACGTATTCTCCTTCGAGGGTGAGTTTGGGGGTACATTTTCCATGGGATGCCTTTCTGTGAATCCACAAGTGTAGATGTAAGGGGCGTGGGGATTTTTGGAAGCCCCTCTGATGTAGATCCAACTCAGATGACGATGCCCACACTCACCCCCAAGGATGACAGCCTGCCCTATACGTGGTCAGCCTGCCTCATCTCAGGCCCCGAAAGGCTCGTGTTGGAAACAGCTCACTTACCAGCAGCCCCCTGCCCTGGACTTGCCTCCGTAGCCTCCATCCGCAGGGCACTGAGCTGAAGGCCACCAGGGCAGGTGTCCCCAGTGGTTTACTTCCCTGTCTGTCCGCATGCTTTTTTTCAATCCTTTCTGTAAGTGTCAAATGAATTTCCAAGAGCCCTGTTTGCATTTTACACATTTCTAAAAGTCCCAGATGTGTGGTTTCTGGTGAATTCTGAACAGGCGGCATTTCATTTTGGCTGAGAAAGCTGTGGGGCACTGTGCTCAGGGCTGACCGGGTTCCTGCCCTGGCTCCCAGGAACTGTGTGCTTCAGGGCAAGTCACTTCTCCTCGTGAAGCTCCAGGCTCCTCACCTGTAAAGCACAGTGACTCCTCGTTCAACAGGGTCAGGCTGACCCCTCAGGTCCGTGCTTCTTCTTCCATCCCGAAGCCCGTGAAAATAACGGGAGATGTTTTCAAAAAGATAAGAAGTCCGCTGTAGCACAGGGAAAGGTACTAGAAGAGGTGAAGCAGACAGCATGACATACGTGGAAACTCTAAGTAGGTCTGTAAACCCATAAACCACCACAGGCAGAGATGAGTCAGCTGCAAAAACAAGTGGACGGGCTTTCCCCAAAGAGCTGCAGGAAAAACGAATATCAAAAATGGGGAGTGGATGGTGACAAAGGCTGGGAGAAGCATGCCACGGGCAGTGTGGTGGTCTCCTGGGGGTGCTGAAGCAAAGGACCGCAAACCGGGTGGCTTTAAAGAACAGAAATGCGTTATCTCACAGTTCTGGAGGATGAAGTCTGAAGTCAGCGTGTCAGCCATGTTGATCCCTTCTGCGGGCTCTGAGGGAGAATCTGTTGCATGTCTCTCCCAGCTTCTGGTGAGGGCCACAATCCTTGATGTTCCTTGGCTCAGAGATGCATCACTCCAGTCTCTGTCTCTCTTCGCCTGGCCATTTTCCCTTTGTGTGTCCCCCCACGTCTCTCCTCCTCTTTTGTAAGGACACTGCTCAGACTGGGGTAGAAGCTACCCTCCTGCGTTATGGCCTCGTGTTAACTGATAGCATCGTCAAAGACAGTATTTCCAAATAAGGTCCCTTTCACAGGCACAGGGGTTAGGACTTCAGCGTATCTTTTCAGGGGGCACCAGTCTAACCCATAACAGGCAGTCAGTGAGCTAAGAGGGGGTGACTGGAACTGTGCCCAAACCAGAGAATAGAATCCAGGAGGCTCTTGCTGGGTTTTGGGACAGTTGGGAGCAAAACAGAACCCACAGGACTTGCCACCACCACCAGGGGCACGAAGGGCAGAAAGAAAGACTCAGCTGCTCAGCACGTAGGCAAAATCCCCTCAAACGTTTCTCCGTAAGGCTAAGACCTTCCCCACTTCCTCATCCAAGGGGGAGCCCCAGCCTGTCAACCAGAAGGGAAGTCCACTGCTCAGAGGGTCTGTCCCATTCACCCCAGCCCAGGCCAGTCACCGTTTTATCTGGCCTGTCTGGGAAGATCAAACAGTGACCTTAATTTCTGGGGAAGTCCACCCCGGCTGCTGATGCTCGTCAGTCTAGCGCTCTGTCTGTGAATCGGTTAGACGTTTAAAAGGGGCCAGGGGGCACGGAAAGCTGTGGTCCTCTCAGAAGCCAAGTTAAGACAGAATATCAAAAATAGTTGTTTCCCCTTAAAGCACCTTCAGTGGAAAGGCTTTTATGTGCATAAGTCAAGAACATGGTGGAAGGGTGAAGAGAACGAAAAAAAGAGTTGTTGAAAATGAGAAGCGTGACTGCAAAGGAAAAAATCCCCTAGACAGGCCACATGGTAGGATGGGTGTCTCTGAAAACCACGGTGGTCCTTAGGAAGGCCGTCAGGAGGAGGTGCACCAGAATAGTCAAAAAGTATCTGGACAAGAAGATGAATAGGAACAGAGGGAATGTGTCTCCCAACCTCACAGCGTATCACAAAACCATAGTAATGACGTCAGCTTGAGGCCAGCACTGCAATAAACAAATCAGTAAACGGGGCAGAAACAGACCTTATAATAAAGCTGACGTTTCATATCCATAGATGGTTGAACAGATGATGGTTGGAGACCTGGCTATTCATTATAAAAAAAATAAATAAAGACGGTAAGTCCCCTCTCACATCATGAATTCCAGATGAATTAATCATGCCAATTAAATTAAACTCGAGTTTCCCTGGGGATTCTAAACCCCACTGCAAACTCAGAAGCTACAAAGGAGAAGGTTTTACAGATTTGACTACATAAAAAGTTCATACTTCTAAATGGCATTAGACACTGTGAAAACAGGTAAAAGGTAAGTGGCAAACTGATAGGAAATGTTTGCAACAAAGGGTTAACAGTCTTAATCTATATATATCAAAGTAAATCATCCCAAAAGAAAAATAGTCAAAGGCTATGAACAGGAAATTCACAGTAGAAAAGGCCATTGAATATAGAAAAGATACTCATTCTTAATAAGTAAATGCAAATTAAGCTACTTTTCCCTTTTCAGACGGGCAAAGAGGGGAGCATGTCAGCAGTATTGTGGGGGAAGGAGACTTCCAGATTCTGTTGGCAGTCATGGAAATTGACATATCTTTGGAGGTCAAATCGGTGAAAACAGTTAACATTCTTGGCTGCTAACTGAGAAAGGTTGGAGGTTCAAGTCCACCTAGAGGCTCGGAAGAAGGGCCTGGCGATCTACTTCCAAAAAGTCAGCCATTGAATACCCTGTGGAGCACAGTTCTGCTCTGACACGCATGGGATCCCCACGAGCTGGAGTCGACTCAGTGGCAACTGGGTTGGTTTTTGGTATAAACGTCGTAAATACGCATGCTTTTGACCCGTCAGTTCTACTTGAGGAATTTGAACATACAGTAATGTTCGAACATGACACTGTAGTATTTAAACAGCAGAAACCAACTAGCTAAATGGATATTAGGTTCCCTTCAATAGGGCATTGGTTAAATATTCCATCCACACAGTGGGATATTATCATTAAAAAGAATGCGGTAGATCTGTATGAACTGAAGGGAGAGTATGTCCGTCAGGTTGTTGTCATTGTTAGGTACCTTTGAGTCAGTTCTGACTCATAGCGACCCTGTGTACAACAAAACAAAAAACACTGCCCGGTCCTGTGCCATCCTCGAAATCATTGCCGTGTTTGAACCCATGGTTGCGGCCACTGCGTCAGTCCATTTCTTGCTGAGGGTCTTCATATATAAAGTGAAAAAAGCAAGTTGCAGGATGGTGTATGTGATCCGAATCTCTTTGTGTGTGTTTTTAAACCTTTTGGTATGAGCGTGTATGTACAAATAAACGTGTATGTTTGAGCTGTGTATGTATACACATTTTAAAAAAAAAACAGAACTCGGTTGCTGTCAAGTCGATTCCGACTTCTGGTGACCCCATGTGTGCAGAGTAGAACTGCTCCAGTGCATTTTCAAGGCTGTGACCTTTTGGAAGCACACCTCCAGGCCTTTCTTCCAAGGTGCCTCCAGGTGGGTTTAAACTGCTGATTTTTTGGTTAGTAGTCAAGCGCTTAACAATTGGTGCCATCCTGGGACTCCTGTGTTCTTGTCGTTGCGTGCCATTGAGTCAGTTACGACTCATAGCGATGTTGTTGGGTGCCATCAAGTTGATCCTGACTCATAGCTACCTTACAGGACAGAGTAGCACTGCCCCATGGGGTTTCCTAGGCTGTAATCTTTACGGGAGCAGACTGCCAGATCTTTTCTCCCTCGAAGCTGCTGGTGGGTTTGAACCACTGACCTTTTGGTTAGCAGTCAAGTGCTCAACCATTGCACCACCAGGGCTCCATGGGACTCCTGTGTACACATTAAAACATAAATGCTTAGAAAAGTGTTTGGAGGAATACACGCCTTCAGTGTATCTAGAAGCGGTTTTCTCTCGAGAGAGGCGTTGTGGAGCAGAGCATGAACAAGGGACGTTCCTATATGCTGCCTTGTGCTTTGAATCTGTACCATGAGCACATGTCTCAGCTGATGAGGGTGTTGGAAAGTCAGAGACCCTGCCCCGGGGTCCCTCCTTTCCAGCTCTCATCCAGGCTTCTCAGCTCGGTGGGCGGCTGGTCTGCTTCAGAGCTGGCTGCTCATCCATGTTCTGTCTCATTCTCAGGGATCATCTGGTGCCAGATCTTGGAAGGCCACCTGGAGGAGGCTGAGCACCAGCTGGAATTCCTGAAGGAAGTGCAGCAATCCCTTGGGAAATCTGAGGTCCAAGCTCTCTGGGGCATGGGTCGCTCCCTGATTCTGTCCCCCACCCTCCTCCTACCCCCACTTTCTAATACAAAGCAGCCAGGATGGCCGGGACTCCTGCCTTGCCCTCCACCACCCAGTCTGCCCAGGCTGGCGCTGGTTCCAAGACTCTGGCCTCTATCCACAGGTGCTGGTTTTCCTCCAGGCCCTCCTGGCATCCAAGAAGCACAAGCCAGAACAGGAGGCCACAGCGCTTCTGAAGGAAGCAGCCGAGCTGCATTTCTCCAGCATGCAGGGCCTCCCTCTGGGCCCTGAGTACTTTGAACGGCTGAACCCCCCCTTCCTGGTCTGCATCGCCAAGGAGTACTTGTTCTTCTGCCCCAAGCAGGTGAGGGGCAAGCCTGTCTTCATGGCAGGGGTCTGGAGCACAGGTGTGGGTGCGTGCGCACCTGAAGAACAGAGGCAGGGAGCTCGCCTTTCCTGTCACCAGGCTCGTCTGAGCCTTGAGCGGGCGGGTAGCCCAGGGCTTCTCACACTTGGACATCCCCCACTCGAATCTCCTGGGAGGTTGTTAGGAGGCCGATTCTGACTCAGTGGCAGGGCCCAAATCCCTGCATGTCTAACAGCCCCCAGGTGATGCTGATGCTGCTGACCTGGGGCCACACTTGGGGGAGCAGAGCTCTACCCCATGCCTTGCCTTTACCTTAGAGAAGAGCTTGGCTTTTTTTTTCTGGAAGTCTTCCAGGAAGTCTGTTAGTCTTTACTCGTTAGTCCAGCTTTCCCAGCCAGTCAGGATTCCTCGTGGGCAAGGACCGTATCTTACACATCTTAATACCGCCCCCCGCGCCTTGTAATGAGTTATTCAGCAAGACTTACTGGGTGCTCTGCCGTGTACCAGGTCCCATTCTAGGTACTGGGAACACAGTAAACATAACACAGTCTCCATAAACCCATTGCTGTTGAGTCGATTGTGACTCACAGCGACCCTATAGGGCAGAATAGAACTGCCCCATAGGGTTTCCAGGGAGCAGCTGGTGGATTCCAACTGCCAACCTTTTGGTGAGCAGCCGAGCTCTTAACCACTGCACCACCAGGGCTCCCAAGTCCCCACTCTCCGGAGCTTATGCTCAACCACTAGAAGGTGCCGAGTGGACAGTCGGCGTAGGGGGAATAAATCTCTCCGCTGAGGGTGTGCTCGCTGAGAGCGCTGGGAGGCTCTTGCCCAGGGCAGACCACAGAGCAGACCCCGCTGTTCCCGCAGCCCCGGTCGCCAGGCCAGATCGTGTCTCCACTTCTTAAACAAGCCGCCGTGATCTTGAACCCTGTGGTCAGAGCAGCCCCAGCTCTGATGGAGCCCCTTTATCTGTCGGCTCAGGTCAAGCATCTCTCAGGTGAGCCGGTGGGCCCTTGCGGCCGGGTGGGGCCTGGCCTCCCCTCACCTGGTGGGGCTTCTGCTTCTGGTTTGGTGTCTGTGACTCCCTGTCGGGGCTGCTTTGCACACACGCACACGCACGCTCACACTCACGCACACTCACGCTCACGCACACACGCCTGCCTTACGAGGCCTGCCCACTCTGTCCTGCCCCCGGCACTCTGACCAGCCTTACCAGCTGGGCTCTCTCCCACCCGGGCCCTTTGCTGATCCCCTACTTCATCTGTGCTGTTGGACTCCTGTTCCCTGCTAGGCGCTGCTCTGAGTACTAAAATACAGCGGTGCTGAAAATAGGCAGAAATCCCCGCCTCGGGAGTTTGCATTCTAGTTAGGGGACGTGAAGTCTCTGGGTGGTGCAAACGGTTAGCACACGCCACTGCTAACCATAAGGCTGGAGGTTCAAGTCCACCCAGAGGTGCCTTGGAAGAAAGCCCTGGTGATCTGCTTCCCCAGAGTCAGCCGTTGAAAACCGCGTCGGGCCGAGTTCTGCTCCGACACGCACGGGGCCACCAAGAGTCAGACAACTCCGCAGCAGCTGGTTAAAGGAGCAGGAGGAACAGACATAAAGCAGCAGAGCACACTGTGCAGTTTGTTGGAACATCCTAGCGCCCTGGAGGGGACTGAAGGGAAGAAGGATGCAGAGGTGGAGGGGCAGCATTTTTAAAGGGTGGTCAAGGAAGGCTGCACAGCAGGCTGAGACCTGTCCCGTTGGTCATCCACGCGCGACCCATCCTGGGGTGCAGCCCTGCATGGGCAGTGTTTGCAGGTGACCTTCGGCCCTGGGGCTCTCTGGGCCCCTGGCGTGGCCTTGCTGGGCCCTGGCCGGGGCCTCTCCTGAGCTTTAGAGCCCTGAGGGGCCAGAGCAGTGCCCTTCCAGCTTCTCCCACCTCAAGGCTCACACCCTGGAGAGAGGGATTATGCTCTGTGGGCACCCTGCTGTGGTCCAAGGCCACTCTGGCCATGCGTTTGTCCCTGGGCACCCCGTGTGTGCTTGGATGCTGCTGGGGGCCTCGGTCCTCCCTGTCTGCACCGGGCACCAGGTGTAGCCATGGTGTCAAGGCCTCCTGGGTGCAAGGCATGGCAGGAGGGTTCCTCAGGGGTGCTGGCAGCTGCCAGCAGGTTTGGGGCCAAGGTGTGGTCTCCAGCGGCCTGGGTTGCCATGGTTACCTGTTCACCTTTCTGCAGCGCTCAGGGCAGGAGCAGGGAGTTTGGGACCCAGGTGCTCCCTACGTGCCACATTGTAGACCCCAAGCGGAAGCTGGTGTGGGACCTGGCCACAGAGGAGGAGGTTTTCCTGCCAGCTCGCCGTGCCCCGCCCTGGGCTGCCAGGCCACCTGCTAAGCACCAGCCTGGAGCAGGGAGGCTCTCAGCCCCACAGTGCCAGGAGGTGCAGGATGAGGCTTGGAGACTGACGGGCCTGGGTTTAAATGCTGGTTTTCTCCCTTCCAAGCTGTGTGGGCTGCAGTCACAGGTCCTGTATTAAAAGAAAACCAAAAAACCCCAACTCTCTGCCATTGGGTCAGTTCTGACTTTTGGCGACTCCACGTGTTAGAAGGTAGAACTGAACTCTGTAGGGTTTTCTTGGCTGTGATCTTTATGGAAGCAGTTTGCCAGGCCTTTCTTTGGCAGCTCCGCTGGGTGGGTTTGAACCGCCACCTTTCGGTTAGCAGCCAAGCACAAACCGTTCGTGCCACCAGCGATCCTATATTAAAAGACAAGGATAATAATACCAGCCATACAGGGCTGGGCGGATACTACCCCAGACACGCTGAAGTGCATGGCCTGTGCGGGGCACCGAGCAGGTGCTTCATAAATGTGGCCGTTACCGTTGCTGTTATTACTGGGCTTTGTTCTGCTCTTAGGGGTGGGAATTGGGACTTCTGTGTTCCTCCGTAGCTTCCAGATGGAGCAGTGAAGGGACGTAGGGGTCTTCCTGAGGGACACCGAGAGAGGAGGGCCTGACTTCCTGGCTTTTGTCTGGGTCAAGGCAAAAACTCTGTAGTTTTGATTTTAGGGAAGGTTCTCTGAGTGAAGCAGAACAGAGCTGAGTAAGATGCCTAATTTGGGTATCAGGACATATAAAAGTCATTCTGCCTTTCCATACTGGGCTGTGGACTTAAAGGTTTGTCTTTTCCTTCTAGGAGAGCTGGAGAATGCCCAGAGCACCCTGCAGCGTTGCCTGGAGCTGGATCCGACCTGGGCAGACGCCCACCTGCTCATGGCCCAGATCTACCTGGCTCAGGGCAACTTTGCCATGTCCTCCCACTGCTTGGAGCTGGCTGTCAGCCACAACTTCCAGGTGGGGGTCCTCTGCCCTGTCACCCCAGGCGGAGGGCCTCCCCACACCTCTCAGACCCTTTGCTGGCCGAAGGCAGAGCCAGGCTCCGCGGGCTCCCGGGCCCTCTCTGCTCTGGGTGTTGTGAGCAGCAGCAGCAGCGATGGCAAACTGGAGGCCCCACTCTGCTATGCTCCTCTAGGTCCGAGACCACCCCCTCTACCACTTCATCAGGGCCAGGGCCCTCAGCAAGTCGGGGGACTACCCAGAGGCCATAAAGACGCTGAAAATGATGGTGAAATTACCAGCTCTGCGGGTGGAAGAAGGCAGGAAGTTCCGCGGGCCCTCCGTGCGGCCCAGTGAGCGGGTGTCCATCCTGCTGGAACTGGCAGATGCCCTCCGGCTGAACGGGGAGCTGGTAAGAAGAAGCATGCTGTCCTCCTCTGGGGCTGGGGTATCCTCCAGGGCAGGGTCCCGGGGAAGGAGCCCAGGGCGTTGATTCCGGCCGATGTCTACTTGAGCAATTGTCTGAGCATGTTTTCATCTGTAAGCGCATCTCTCCCCGCCTCAAAGGCTCCAGTGGTCCCCATGGCCCTCAACATCAAGTCCAGACCCCCCTAGGACCTGCAAGATGGAGCCCTGGCTACCTTACTGTCCCCAGGAGGCTGTCAGGGAGGCGGAGCGCACCAGCCCATCAGTGCCACCGCCACTGCTGACTGTGACCTTGGGCATTGCCCAGCCCCAGGGGATGCCAGTCACATCACAGCCTTTAGGAATGGTGCTCCCTCGGAGTGCTGCAGTGTGCAACCTGCTCAGCTGTACGAGGCAGCACCGGGGCCTGGGGAGGACTGGCTGGGTGGAGGCAGGGAACACCTGAGTGTCCTCAGCTGGTAGCTGGGAGTAATGAGGAGCACAGAGCAGGGCAAGGCCTGGGAGGAGCTGGACGCTACCTATTCCCTTGGGCTCCCTGGCTTGTCTGCCCTCCACCAGCTCACTGGAAGGGGGTTGACAGCTCAGCCCGAGGGCCATCCCTGTGAACCATCTCCGGCCTTCTCCAGTGAGGATCCCCAAGCACAGGGTGGACCAGCCCACGAGACATGTTTTTCTTAAGATAAAAATTGCCTTCTGGGCAAAGATGGGAACGTGGAGGGATGTGTATTGCACTTGCCTCCCTTAAGTCTGCCAAAAGGAGGAAAAGAATTGAAAGTAGAGGAGAAACCTCCATCTGTGATGAAACTCGGGCACAGCCACATCCAAGAACAGTTATTCCTCATCGATTTTCCCAGTCATTTATTCAGCTGCTATTTATTGAGAGCACACCGTACGCCAGGCACTGTGATAGGAAGGAGCTGGGGATAAGGAAGAACGAGGCCAAGAGGAGGTACCCACTGGTGGGAGAGAGACAGGGAAAGCCCAGGTGCCTGCGATTGCTTTAAGAACCAGGAATGAAGTCAAGCCCCAGGAAAAGCAGGGACCCATTTCTACCACATAGAACAGCAGGGCTGCCGAACAAGGACTCCCAGCTAAAATGCCACTTCTGTTTTCTCTGCCCTGGCCTCCTAATAGGAGGAGAGGTGGGAAAGAGAAAAGTAAGGAGGAAAATAACCTGAAAATCAGTTTTGCGGCTTGCTCAGTTAAGGTAAATAACAGATCCATGAGCTGTGGCCTTCACCTTGAACCAGGGGACTCCATCTTGACCCCAGCTTCCCACCAAGGCTTCTCCCAAAGGGAGGACACTCAGGAAGCTAAGAGGAGGTATGCTTGTGGGGCAGCTGTGCCAGGCCGCTCTCCGTCCCTGGCCCAGCTCTTGAGAAAAGGGTAGGGTTAGATGACGCTGTTGCCATTTAAGGAGGGAGGAAGAAAAGAAGGAAAAAGACATAAAACAAGAAGCAAAAGACAAGTGAAGATTACACTTTGGGAGAAAAAGTACTATAACAAACAGAAGAAATTTTTTTTTCAAGAAACACTGCACTCAATGAAAATAAAAAGAACATGG